GAGATGAACCGGTTTGCGCCAAGCAGTGTGGAGGTTGCCACAGCGGTTTATTGCACAGCCCAGTAGACTTGTCCATCCCAGCACCACCTGTGAAGCCACAATTTATCACATTCTGCAGAAAAAAAGGCAATAAATCCAATGCGTGTTTCTTGTAAATCAACGGAATCAGCAACTTTTACAAGCGAAACACGAGGACCAAATTTTGGACAAAAGAGGTTCCAACTCATCCTGGTGTAATGGTCGCAATTTCCGGTGCAGGTGTTATTGCCATACATATGATGTTTTCGTTCCCTGATCTATTTGAGCACTACTTTTTTCAAAGTGGGGATTTTACCACCTACCTTCTCGTAGTTCGTAGTTCTTTAGTTGCCTTGCATTTCATAGGAAATCATGTTGTGTGTTGTCGTGTTGCGATTTTAGACAAAGTTTACTTCTGTAAACTGTCCTTACTGGCAATGTACAAAATAAACTTCCAAGAAAAAGCTAAATTTAAACAAATTTAAAAAAATCAATTATTTAAAACTTTAATGCGCAGATGCAATAATGCATTATTTGCTTAGTAATTTCAAGTTAAAAACATGGTCTTTAAGTTCAAAAAATTTCAATACCTTAATTGTCTTTTGTTCAGTGATGGTACAACATACGTTATTCTGTTAAAGAAAAGAATAAGTGATCTTAATTTGAGTTGGTGGTTCTTGATTGTATCGCCACTTACCTAATTCTAATTTTCAGGATCAGGTTGCCGTTGCCTTTGACTCAAGTTGTACATTTCAATACATTTCAATTGTCATTATTCACATACACTATGATATATTTGGTGATGCACGCTTTCTCATCCTGGCATTCATCTGAATGCATCTACGGAACCTCAAAATCATTTGATTGTGCACATGCAAATAAGTTTAATTAAATTTAGATTCAACGAATTCATACGCAGCATTGGCATTGGTATGATTATTCCCCTGATACAATGTTAGTAAATGTAAATTCTGTCATGTCATGCATCAGGCTAACTAACAAATGAATTATGAAGGCGTTTTTCAACTGAATAAAAATCACAATCGTAAGTGATGGTGATCGTGACAGTGCTTGGATATATTTGTCTTCCAGGCTAATAACCTCGACAATTATTGGTTTAAGGGCACCTCGCTTACTTCTAATTCAGCCTGAAAAATGATTTTGCAGTAGAATTTCTATGCCAATTAAGCTAATTTAGTAAAGTTCCTCGTGTAAGAATATCTTACAACGTTTCTAAAACAAAAGGCTTACTCCAGCTTACTTTAAGTGAAGTGGCTTTTGAGGTTTTTAGCACTTCTGGGCATCGTTTGTATTCAAATAGTCCTTTTGCTTGACAAATTTGGTTATCATCTATATCCGTAAATCTCAACACAGGGTTTAGTTTCAAATTTGCAAACTTGGCGTGACCAGGTGGTTTAAGGATTGGTGTCATTTTTAAGAACGCTGTCTGCTTGTTAT